GCTTTTATGGATCATTATAATTACGTTTCTCATTGTGTTGGTGATTAGATATTAGCAAGAATAAATAAAATAAGCACAGTAGAGGGCAATGCCGTTATTTGGAAGATGAATTAAGGACACTATTTTATTAGGGATATGATGTTATTTGAGAGTAATGAGCATAACTGTACAAGAATAAATCAGTATATAAAACGTTCTCAATTTCTTGCGTCATATTTGTTTTACCTTGATATAGGCCTACGGCAATCTATATTTATGCGACACCAGCATAAATAAAGATTCATATATATTCCCGTACATTAATACATTAATAATGTTATCTGTAAGAATTTCAATGTAATATCTTGCAATATACGGTGTATACACGTGGTCTTTATATTTTGGGTACCACTCAGTGCAGTGCAGATGACACATGACGTATTATGGCGCATGGACAGATAAGTGTATATGGTCTGTCTACACTCACATGTAGAGGAATCTATCAATACCAATATCGCCTTGATCAACTATGCGAAGGTATTCTGAAAAATTACCTGTTGATGTAACACAGTGCATGTACACCTCCACTCATATTCATCCTTAAATAAGGCATTACTATAACCTCTAATCTTGCCAGGTCAAAATTTGTGAGCCTTTAGGAGTCCCAAGGATAAGGTCTCAACACGCTTTACATTGCATCACTATAGGACTCCTTTTACGACTGTAAACTTTCCATTATAAATAAAAAAATCCGATACTGGTAAAGCTTCAAGTGGACAGAACATAACCGATGTACATAAGAGAGAGAAAAAAAGGCCGATTTTGAAATCCACTGCAGGTGTCAGTAAATCTGCCAAATCACCCGCAAAATTGACATGACTTACGAAACAATCGCAATATCACACCCTTACAGTTGTCTTAAATCTTCGAGATTCTAACCACACTACCGAGATCCACCGAATATTAGTCATAAAATCCAATGTCTCCCTAAAAAAACAAAGTTCAAATTAAACCTGCCGGCATTTTACTACATCCTATTACAACATCTCTTCAGTGGAAGATTCCTCGAGATCTGATCCTTGATGACTCATCCCCCCGGCAAACAAATGGCGAGAAAAAGCAACAGTTTGCTCTTACCGTGAAGATCAGCGAAGCTACAATCAGCTGTTTACAACTCTATTTACTCCACTGTGGCCGATACATGTATGCTCGGTCCTTGACTCCAGTTTATTGTCGGGAAACGGCATCCAACCCCCTAACTGCGGCTCTAAAAGGGATCCGAGTGCTTACCTCACCGCGGATAATCAATTCCAATGGTATTGTTGTTGCAGCCACGTCATATAATCTGGAGGAAATTTTGGATGAAATTGGTTTTGAGAAATAGGAATACGTTAATGAATGCTATTTGGATAGATATATTCTTCTTTCACTATGATGCGTGATTTTGCTTCATAGTATTAATGTATTGGCTTTGCAGAGGTATTGAGCTCCACTTGAAATCTACGATGTCTGCTTGCGGATCAAGGATACTGGGGATTCAAGAATTTATACTTAATGCAATGTCACGAAATTTTATTTATGAAGACGTATTGAGGATGTCAGACTGCTGATAATAATGAGTCTTCAAAAATCTTCCACGGGAAGATGATATTTTTTGCAGGTGGGGGGAGGGGGAGGGAGAGTAGACGATAATAATTTTCTGATAACTTTGGTAACACTTGTTCTCGCTCTTGGCAATATCCCTGCTATAAAGTTCGACATGATTTCATATTATCTTCTAGTTATGAGTTAATACATTTTCTCAAGGAAATCAGTTCCAAACAACGATTGGTCTCATTACTTTCAGTTTTAGCAATTTTTATCGGCACAAAAATTTACAAACGTTAGCAACTCTTTACTACGTTTTTGGTGCATCGCCAGGATCTTGCTTCTCGGACGCAGAATATGCTCTTAAACCTTTCCTCAAGACGAGATAATATCCTTCATAGTCATTTACATCGACAATAACGACAATACATAAATCTCCGAACAATACGAAACTTAGCAACTTTTCGCTACGTATGCAGACGAACCGCTCGATAGTAGCGCAGAGAGCCCGAGCGAGGCAGAAGCACGTGTGGCGACCAGCTGGGAGGTAAATAAAGGTCGTGTTGGTGTGTCGTGTGTCTGATTTTACTCACACAGGCCGAGTGAAGAGAGGAGATGCTCCGGTGATGCTCCCGTTGTGTGATATATGTGTGTTTGGATTGTTTTTTATTCATTATGTGCATTATATGAGGAGGGTTGTGTATTGCCTAACGGGTTGCAATCAACGAATTGTCAGCTACTGGTTGCAGAACAGAATTTCGAGGGGAATTGCAAGATTGTATGGAGTCTATTACAGAATGGGATGTTTCCATGTAGTTGCAAGTAAAACAATGACAAAATAAGTGGATTGTCTATCTGTCGTCTGTCTATGTCTCGTATGTTTGTGTCTAGGGTAGGGGGGGACCTGCAACCTTGGCACCTGTAATATCTGCACCTGTACCAGACTGGAAACCTTACATTCATGGGCAAGTCATTTTCAAAGGTTGTAACTTGCACAGTTAGATTTTGAGATGGATGTTTGTTGTTGCATAAGTATTGTTTTCAATATGCAATGTTAATGATGGATGATATGTCATTTTTACATTTTTTCTATACTATGAAATGGGTTGTCATTGATGGCACAACTTAGTATGGTTCAGTTTGATAGGTAGATTCACTCTTGGGCCAATCCACACTATGCAGTAAACAGACACATTGGCAACTTCACTTAGTCAACAAAAAAGAAAGGGAGAACTGTTTGGTGAAAACAGAAAAGCCATAAAGTTACCAGTCTGGCACCTATAACTGCTCCATTTAAGGCCAATTAACCGCCACTGGTATTCTCTGAAGATACTATATAAAGTAGTATGTTTTTTGGAATTAAATTGGGAGGGAAGTCTGCCTGCTCTAAGTAGTAAGTGTTCAGAATACCTGCTGTGACTGATCAAGACATTACTGGTACTTAGGTGGTAGCTTTTTCGTCTGGCAATCTTGCTGAACCAGATTCAATCCTGTGCACTGCCAGTGGATGGTAACCCTGGCGATTCCTTGCACACAGGCGGTAATTTAGAAGCAAAGAAGCAACAGCATGTTACAGCAAATAATGACCATTGTAGCAAAGGAATTAAAACTAGATTATTAAATATCATTAATATTCGTTATTATTCATGTAAGTAGGAATTATATCAGGAAAACCCATCATATCTTTCAAGCTTGGCCCAATTATTAGAGGAGGGTGGGAAGGTTTCCGGGAAAATTGCAAGGTAAAATATCCTGGAGTTTATCGAATCTTCCATGTATTTATGGCAGTTTGGAGTGAAGGATTTATCACAAGGAGTCAAGACATGCACTGCATTGTTAATGTTAATACCAGGAGCTTTTGTTCCAGGCTGTGCCCCCTGCACGAGACATTGTCATGTGTGCAAAACACTTTTCCTTCAAATTTCAAATTGCATGTCAGTCTTAAGCTCCATATTGAAATGAATATGTGCAGGATTCTTTGTGTTCCAGAGTAGGAGTTGAGGGCGACAACCCTCCCAGACTTTTTGCCAACCCTCTTTAGTGTATATTATAGTGACCCTCATTTCACATAAATGTATTTTTAAATTAATTTATCGTAATATTTAGCATGCATTTTCCCTGAAAACTGTCATGCCTTAACCAACATTCACAGCCAAGATTGTGGGTATGGGGATGGAAGATCACAGCAAAACTCTTGTGTTTATATGTAGAAAAAGTTGAAAGGAATATGTCAATGTCAGTATTGTGAGCAGGTGCTCAAAGGTATTTTGAGCAATTAACCTGTAGGCTTATCTTCCTTGAGTATTTTTATTTTATGTTGATTAGCTAATAAAACATCACTTCACATTTCAGGTTTCTGACCACCACAGGGAATTCTTTTGGATCTGTTATGACCCTTTTTTCCCCTCACAGGACCAGCTCCAGGGGGGAGACCTAAAGGGGCCTTCATGAGTTTTAAAAACTACCTGACTTGATACGCTCATCTCCAACAACATCAAGGTATGACACGTCTTTTTGCAGTCTGTTGCACATTCACTATCAAAAGTATGTTTTTGGTGATTGATAGCATCACTTTCACAGACAAGATTTAGAATTTTTCATAGAGTTTGATGTGGACAGAACAAATCCAGTATTCATATTCTGTGCTTTCGATGAGTATCCTCACCTCCCCTGGGTACCATGAGAAATCAGTGTTGGAGTGTGGGGGAGACAAGAAATGTAAAGCACATTTGATTTTTGCCAAACGTAAAATAGAAATGAACCGTTTTCATGTTGACAAATGTAGAAAAGGTATGAATGAAATGGAATGTCTTCACAATATAAGAGATGTATTTGACTGGTTTCAATAATGTCTTTGTCAGAAATACATCTGTTTCTGATGAAGCTATATTTGAAATCGGTCAAATACATTTCCTGTACTCTGAAGATATCATTCTCATTCACACCTTTTCTCTAAAAAATAGAAATGTAAACAGATTTTCTAGCCATCTGCTGATTTACTTGACATACCATGATTGTGGTTGCCCCTGAGCCTTGTGGTGCAATGGGGTCTTCATGATACAAGAACCATTGCGGAACTGCTTCAGATGGTCGATCTCCACAATACCCCAAACAATGAGCAGCATAAAATCAGTCCTTACTTTTGATAGGCCCATTGATTCAAGGGAAATTTCATTTGGTCAATTTCTATAGATAGATTTTTTATATAGTCCAAGATTTTCTTTCTTCTTCTTTTTTTCTAGACAGATGGTAGTGATAGTAAACTAACAAAACCACATCTTAAGAGATTTTTTTTTCTTTTCTTTTTATTATTATTATTATAGTAAAGGAGAAAGTAATTCAAACACAAGAAAATTGTTTACTTTGATGAATGCACACAATGAATTTGATTTGCTTTATCAAGATTGTAAAAGATTGTTTTCCTTGAGCAGACTCCATATTATCTCTCCAGCTAGTCCTCAACTCTGTCAGTTTTTGTTATCTTTATATGTGTAATTTTAAAATAATTTTGTATTATTCCATTTTCTGTAACACATCCTGTGGCACCAGTTACAAAGGGCGGAAATGGGATCCTGAACATGGAAATAGTGTCCTCCCTAGAGCCAGCAGTAATCCACCCATGGTTTACCCATTGTACATTCTATTGTAGTTGACTGGTGGAAATACTGCAACAGCCCCTTCCTAAATGTTTATTAAGTCTTATCTTCCTCTAAGACTTTGTATGCTTATGGCAAGCCATTCCTGCCATCCTAATCTTCATACAAATTATGAGATTTCATAATGGTATATTCCAGTCTTTCCAGCCCTCCTTTTTTTTTTTTTTTTTTTTTTTTTTTTTTTTTTTTTTTTTTTTTTTTTTTTTTTTTTTGATGATGATGGTGGTGATGACTCCTGAAAATTATTTTGCAGTGATTGTCAAAATCAGTCCGTCTCCTTTCCTCTCTTGTCTTCTCTTCTCGTCTCTTCTCTTCTTCCTTCTTTCCTCTCCCCTCCTACCCTTTTTCATTTTGATTTTTACCTATATATTTTAAAATTTCAGGCTGCAAGATGAGTGACTCAGAGAACGGCAGCGAGTTTGATGGCGACATTGAGGAAACGGAATTTGGACTTTACATGCAGCTTTATTTTGAATCCAATCCAGAATATAAGTCTAATGAACCAGAAAACAAAACTCATGACAGTTTTCATATGAGGCTTCAGTCATCAGGCAAGGAGAGCATCGAAGAATCCCCCGAGTCAAATGTGAACACTAGGGAAGATAAGGAAATAGAAGTACAGAAATACAATGATTGCCAGGCTGATAATGGCAAAGCATGCACTACCAGTTGCATCAAGGAAAATAATCTTGAGTTTTCAAGAAATGCGAGGAACAATGATACCAAAGGGAGGGATGCTACGGATAACGCCGATGCACCATGCTCAGTGGCAGATATTCAAGGGATGGACCAACAGAGCCAACTGAAAAGGGTATCCAGAGAAAGGCTTTCTAGTATTTGTAGTATAGACAGCATATCAGGTAGTGTCCCTCTGGATAACTTGTACTGTGTAGATTTAATTTCTGATGAAGAGGACAGAGGAGTCAGCCAGAACTTGGCCATCTCTGAGAGATTAGAACAGGAAATTGCAGAGGCTCCCCAAGAAACTAGCAATTCTAGGAAAAGGAAAAGGTTCAGGTATTCATCTGACAGTGATATAGAAGAATCAAGATGTGCTAGTCTAGCTGGAAAGGCAAACACACATAAGAAAAGGATTACAAGTGCACCAAAATGTAGCTCTTCAAGGAACAGTGATGAGGAAGAGGATGTTTATGTCCTTCCTCCTCCACCACGACAGAAAATTTCAGTTGTGAATTTAGCGTCAACTTCTGATAGCGATTCATCAGATGCCCCCAATTTGAGAGGAAAACAAGATACCAAGGCTAAAGGCAAATTTGGTTTACAAGTTGATCGCACACCCAAATGTATATCCAAAGCAAAAGATGTAAAATCACCCAAAAAGTTACTGAATGGGGACCTTTCCCAAATAATTGCTGCCATAAAGAGAGGCAGTAAGAGCACAAATGTTACTTGTGAGTCTGACACAGAGAGTGAGACCGACTCCCTTGATGGGGAAATAGGAACAAAATTGACAATGAATTTAGACAAAGGATTAAAAAGACTCCTTGACAATGATAAGGAGCACACAAATAGACCAACCAGAAAGGTTGAGAATATGAAAAGTTTTGACTACAGCAAAACACTTCTAAAAACCAAGAATCTACCAAGCTGTAAGAAGTGGACAGCCTCTATGGCATCTTTCTATGATTCAGATGTATCAGAAGACCTGCAGATAGAGGCAGTACACAAGCAACAATCAAGTGAGTTTTGTATTTACATTTTCAAAGTAAATATTTGAGGCATAGTAAAAGATTCGTCTTGTAATTTATGTTATCATCATTGCAGTTTTTTCTAATTTTAACAGCATGATAAGTTCTCTGTGTGTTGAATTCCAGATTCACTAAGGGACTGGCATATTAATGCAAGTGATTATCCAGTCTACCAAAGAGGCCGATATTTTACCAGGGAAGTCAGGTGTACTCGATGTCGCCAGTTTGGTCACCTGGAGAAGGATTGTCCAAGAGTACCACATTGTCACCTGTGCTCCCAAACAGGACATACAGTGAGATACATGTGTCCGGAAAACTGTTGCTTTAGAGTAAGTAAAAAACACTATCACAGTTTAATTCTTATGAACTATAATTGATCCAAACAAACAAAATCATCTCATCATTATTGAAACTCTGTCCTCAAGGTCTGACACAAAAGCAAGGCAAATACAAGCAATTAGATGTGAATAAGATTGATAGATAGGAATTGCTTATAAGTTCAAAGAGGTTTGACAAAAGTATCACCGCCAATCATTTAGTACTGCCAGTCATGTCATTTGTTGTATCACCTGTTTACATTTTATGTAAACAATGATGAAAATTTGACTAGTTCACATCAGCCTTAAATCATCATTACTATTCTGGAGACAAGGCACTAGTTATGTTGCGGTCTGTTCCAAGAGTAGAATTGTCGCATTGTAGTTGAATTTAAATGCCTTAGTCAATAATTGTGTGTAAAGAAAAAGAAGAGACTTTGGTGCAAAGACTGGTTCAGTATAAGATGTTTATAGAAGCCACACAGTACTTCGGGAACTACATCATGGCCTTAAGCAAGATTTCAGAAAACATTGAAGAATGAGCTTAAGCACATTTTGTACTTAACGGGCAATGATGTAGCCATTTATAATGAAAAGTCACAAACGGGAAGAACAATATAACAGCAGCAGCTCAAGCCACTGGGCACCTCCTGGTGATTTTGCTTTTTGTTTGCTCTGGCAAGTTGATGGTTTGCCCACCATTCCTGGCTATCAGGCCTGCCTCTGCTCTGGACAGGCCTTTAGGGTGTCCCCCTAGTATCTAATCTCACTCCCAATTCTTTTGTGATTTACACAATAAGTCAAATATTCTAATAGTACAGGTATTATTGCTTACATCATGAAAGTACTCTAATGTTTTGTTTACATATTTTTCCAATTTCTATTATAAAATAAGAATGGAAAAAAGATAGTTGAGTGGTGCTGTCTGCATATGATTCCATTAACATATTTCTCTATCTAACAACATTGTATTATTTCTTAATAGATGTGACATGTATAAGAATTTCAATGTTTTTTGTCACTTCTTCATCATTATGAGCATATATTTGAAATATTAAACCTAGAGGGTCTTTAACAAGTGACAGGCTTTATTTGGCTGTCAATTATATTTACCCAGATCAAATTCGGTGAAGAACATTAGATGTGTATGGTCAGAGGTATTGCTGGTGGTACATGTAGATACAAATGTACAGATACCCATGTGAATGTCTTTATCTATGCTAAATGCATAAAGGAAAGAAAATGTATATTCAGATTTACCTGTACATCTCATGTCGAAATTTCTTTGCAGTGTGGTGGAGAACCCCATGGATTTTGTTACAACACTTCAGCTGCTGTCAGATGCCATTTGTGTGGCTTTCATGGTCATCAGATGCAGATGTGCCCAGATTTGTGGAGGCGATTTCACATAACGGTACGACAATTTGTTTGTTTGTTTTTTTAATGAATTCTATCTTGTAATCCTTTAAGAAGTTTATGAAAAAAGAGATTGTTCACACTCTTGCATATACTATTATTATTCCCCATGTTGGCTCCTTTGTACACCCAATTAGCCATCTATGTGAATGTTTTACAAAAAGTAGTGTCTTTTTATCCTCACTAATGATATCTGTTTATGTATTGGTTGGGTTTATTTTATTTACTACTACATATTTTATTATGTTGTTCGGAATATTATAAGTGAGCAGGGCTGACATAAATAAATTGGGGGTTTTGAAGAGCTAGGACACTAGTTTGAAATGAGGTATCATGAGGTGGATATGCTAACAGGAGTAGTTCTTACTTGTGTGAAGTCAGGTTACAGAAGCCAAGACAGGAGTAGGTTCAGGTATTCCTATGTTCTATGCAGAAGCCCCTAAGGTGTAGGCCTAACCAGATTACACATCAGTCATACATAACTGCCTTTGTAATTTTGTTATTGTTGTACACATGGGCCAGGGTGATCTCAAGGAAAAATTTACCTCCCTCCTTTAACTTGAATACAACGCCTAAGAAAGTCTAAGAGAACAGGACATGTTGTCATCAGAGTTCTTATACGTTTTTCCCACGATAAACCAAATCACTTTCTGGCTAAGCTTCATCTTTGTACTATATATGGTATGTTGTACTGAGACTTTGGCAACTGCAATTTGTGTAGGAAGAAACCACTCTGTAATTACATATACATTAGATAGTCAACACAATATGCTGTCTGAAATCCTTGTTTTGTAAGTTATGCCGTTGCATCTAGGGTTCCAGACTGGGTGAGGGTATAGAATTGCCTTTATTACTGAGAAACATTTTCACAAACTTTCATTTAACAAGATTTGACTCATCATTAAAAAAATATATATATACATAAAACAATGATAATAATAATTTTAATACATGCAAGAGCATGACATTTTGGATTTATAGAAAAAAATGTCCATCCTAGGCGTTGATATAATATGATTAGATGCCCAGAAGCTTTTTTATCAGAATTTTAAGTCATATTCACAAACTGGTATTCCATTGTCCTTCTCAACATTTCTTTTGGTTTTGTAATGAAATCTTAAGCAGTTTGAACTAGAGTCTGCATATAGAAACGTTCAGGCACCGAGTGGGGTGAAAATTTCAGTCTGATGCTCGGCTGTAACAGGGTCTGTGAAATCAACTAAATATCGTGAATTGAGTCTTGGCACACTTATCACAAGACTAGTCTAGAAACTGTTCATAGCTATTCAGAAGAATTTTGTCTTTGTGTATGTCATGTTTTGTGGTGTGAAGTAGTGTCTCCTGTAGTGGCATTACAAAGTTGCTAAACTTGTAATTTATTGAATATGTGTTTTTATGTCAGTTGATCAGGAGTAGAAGCTGTCAGGAGTAAGATACACAAACTGCTGAATATTTTTACATCCACCTCAGCTATAGACAGGTTCTTGTGTAGAGACATTCATAGGTATACATTATTATATTATGCATTATTCTGTTTGAAAATGGAAACGATTATAACTTACATCTCTCTTCTTTTCATTTTCAGACTTCTGGGGAAGAAGTACAAAGCCCAGAATTCCACAAGGTTCGCCCTTTAAAAGAACAGTATTGTTGCATATGTGCCAAGCAAGGACATTACAGCTATATTTGTCCTCATAGGCACGAGAACTCTTATTACTCTCAAGTTCCACAAACGGTCATCAGCTACTCCTCACCAGTTTTACAGGAAAATGGCAAACTCACAGTCAGCGCTGGAGCTGAGATTTTAGAGGTAACCTTTTTTTGTGCGTGTATATGTATGTGTGTATGGTCAACTCACCTTTACTTGAAGAATTTTGGTTAAGAAAGATTTGGAATCTGTTGCCAAGTGTTAAATGTCTTGTATTTTTTTCAAACAGGTGCCAGCAGATGTTACAAAATTCTCTGTGAAGCAACGAGATGCTGGACGCTTAATAGGACGGCAAGGGATGGTTGTGAAGGAAGTCCAGAAACTGTCAAATGCCAAAGTTATTATTAATACAAAATATGGAAGATGTCAGGTAAGACAAACATCAATTCCAGGTCATTTTATATTCATCTTCTTCAGTTCCAAATCCAATCTATTATTTTATGATTGTAAATGCTAGTTTATGGGGTCCAATTAGCCTTTTTTTTTCTTTTCTTTTCTTTCTTCTTTCTCTCTTTTCTAAAGGTATTGAAATTAACTTCAGTGTGCTTTATTCCTTCCATAATTTTGTCTTCATTTGTATATGAGTGTGTTAGTCTGTCTGTCCATATCTCATGTGTTAGTCAAAGGGAAACCATTATGAAAATTTTAAACAGCTACACAATTAACCAAGGTGCAGTTAAGCAAGAGAAACTGGATTTTGTTTGTGTGATATAAAGGTATTTCTTTTCATTCCAGGTTCACATCTGTGGAAGTTGGAAGGACAGGAAACTTGCAAAAGGAATAATTGAAGTTCTACTTGGTCGTATACCAGTAGGTGAATATAAAGAGTACATCACCAATATAGCCAACGTCACTGATGACCCTAATATACAGGAACTTTTAATGTACTCAGATTCAAACAAAGTCTTGACAGAACTAGAAGACAGTAACCAGCCTCTACCAGGTTATCGCGGCAGAATTAGCAAAAGCTCCTCACGTATTCTGGAAAATCTTCCCAGGACAAGAGAAGATCTCTTGGCTAAAATATCTGAAAGTGTTTCAGATCTGAAGTCTGTTGATTTTGATGTGAAAAGACGTGTTAAACTCTTGAAAAAGGAAAGAGACTCGCTAGATTTTAATGATGCATCTCCCGATATTATTCGTCGGATGCAAAAGTTGTTGAATGAATTATCAAGAGTTATTATTGGTAGAGAGATGTATGGTGATGGTAAAGATATCCATGAAAGTTTATCCAATTTGCAAAGCAAAGTAACAGAATGTAAAAGTAATAGAGTTCCTGAAGATTTGTGTGAAAACGTTGCACATACCCTTCGTATGGTCTATAATCCTTCTATTGAAAGAGTAGATACTATATTGAGCTATGCAGAAGACTATCTGGAAAGAGTGAGTAAAAACGAGGGGAAGAAAGAAAATCTAGAAAAATTTAGGAAAACCTACAAGAGGAAACAAGTTAATACTGCTGGTTCAGAGGAAAATGGGATCAAATTGCTAAAGAAAAAGCTCAAGAGACTTAAAAGTAAGAGTGGAAATCTCTTTGGAAGAAACTCTGATCTGATATGTAAACATAACAGATTACAGTTAAAATGTAAGCATTGCAAAAATGAAGCACAAGAAATGCACAGTCGGTGCCGGCACAAGGCAGAACAAAAGAATTGCGGACTTTGTAAGAAACAAAAAGATATGAAAAGAAAGAGTAAAATGTGTGTCCACGATTCCATAAAAGGTAAGTGTAAGAAGTGCAAAAAGAAGAAAAAACCCAAACGAAATAGTACAGCGTTTTGGAATGAAATATTTAAGGACTGTTGAGTTCCAAGAAGTGATAAAACCAATGAACCTGCCTAAGTTGAAAATATCCCAGAGATTATTTTATTTATCAAGTATGTAGCTATGGTATTTCTTTTTCAACAATTCAGGTTTGTGAGAAGGTGCTCTAAATCTTTAATCCACTGGATCCGTTTTGAGCTTAATTTCTTAATTTCTTTGGTATGATTTTTTACCCTTTTACAATTGCCATTTTGCCATTAGACCAACTACTTGAAACCTGATATGAGTCATATTTTTCTTTTTGAAGGAAAACTAAACTTTGAATATAAGCAGATTATATAAATAAAGTTTGAGTTGAAATGTGCAAGGTGGCTTAATTCTCCTTTCTTTTCGTCTTGTTCTTTTATTTATCGTAGGAACTTCTCACTACTCGCACTCGAGGAATTATCTTACAGAAAGCTTTTATTTGAGTTATCCCTAAGGAATGCAAAAATCTTTAAATCAGACACTTGAAATACATGTGATAATAAAATAACAGGAAACATAGATTTGTATTCAATATTTTATTTTCTTAGGATTTGGTACTTACTGCTTCATTCTGAGTCCCTCCGTAATAAACAATATTGTAGGATTTTGAACTTTGTTTATATATCGCAAAGGAAATGGATATATAGTACACATAGCGAAAATTATAATATTCCCTTCTTCGAATTTAGACATTGAAATATCAGAGGCAATGATCCTCTATCACTCGATATGCTTCTGCCTTAGCCACACATGTATTGATTGGTTTATTCACTCAGATATGGCATGTGTGTGTGGTTGTGTGTGTGTGTGTGTGTGTGTGTACGTGTGTGTGTGCGTGTGCATCCACCTTCGTTTCGACCCACCAGCTGCCGTCCCATCTCTAACTCCTGACTCCCGACGACAGAATTGATCAATCTCCCCAGCCACAATTTCCTTGTCGTCCCACGAGCCTCCTCCACCACTGTTTCCTCGGAAGACGACCTGGTGCCAGGTCGTCCTCGGAGAATACTCATGTCAAGCGAGTTCATGGCACTCACCGGCAGGCCAATCCACCTTCTGACTTTCTGGTCTGACAGCTCAGAATCATGTACAGTCACGGCCAAAGTCGAAGACCCTCGAATCGAATTTCATTCAACTCTTGTCAACCCTGTTTCGAATTCCGTCTCGAACATCAACTCTTGTCAACCCTGTTTCGAATTCCGTTGCGAACCTCCACTTAATACCACACTTTTTGCATAGGGTGAGACCGATTCGAAGCTTCAGTTCATGACTTGACTTTCGTCCGCCGCTTCACCACACATCCAAGGTATGTAAAGCACACACCGACTGAACAGGCTCTCCTCGTAGGCCTGTGCAGGTCTCTAAACCGAAGGAGGGAGGCAGAGAGAGAGAGAAAGACAAGAGAGAGGGGGGGGGGAGGCAGAGCGAAAGACAGAGACAGAGAGGGACGTTACTCAGAGCACCGAGAACTTCCACTCGTTTCTAAAGACTAGGACGAGATGCCAACATGGTCATTAAAGACAAATTCGGAGACTATATTGCCCAGTGTTACATTAATTTTGGACAGTAATTCTACTCAGCCATTCAAGTGAAGTTGAAAAGCGTAATTCTTCGTCAGTCAAAACAATTAGATCAACTTGACCGAGGTATTTAAAAGCATTGTGCGTGTGGCTAAAACAACCGAAATTGGTTTTATTGGAAGTTAAAAGTCTTAGAGTCCTTTAGAGTTATTAAACTTAAAAGAATGATGAAAATAAATGTAGAACATTGCTTTTTTATTCGTTGAAGTGAAGTTGAAAAGCGTAATTCTCCGTCAGTCAAAACAATTAGAACATTGAACCCCCCACCCCCCAATCCCTTGGCCGTTGTAGTCGGGGGACTTAGAAGACGGGGACTGACACCCAATGCAGGGATCTCCCCTACCTTGGGCCTCAGCCCTCTGCTGAATTAATTTTGCATGGTCTTTTCTCCCTCCAGCTCTTTCGTTTCCGTCCCTTCTCCAACCCCTTCTACTATCTACTTCCTAAGGTGTAAGAGCCGTGCTGAAAGGATGAAAGGCTGACTTTGTGCCAGTCCTGAACGGCCTAAGGGAACCATTGGCACCGTATCCCCCTATTTTAGTTTACTAGCCTTTACCTTTCAAGGTGACACTGAGGGGTGGACTGTTTATTTCCCCAATATAGTCAAAGCTTCCCATGGCCAGTAATGAAGACGTAATATCCTTATTAGGAGCAATGAGGTTTGCCCCTTCATCAAATAGCCCCATCGATTCAAACTTTCCCGGCTCCCCGACCCCAGGCTCTCCTTTGACCACGACTCTGAACACTACAACTACTACCCACTCCTCAATGCCTGGTAGTACATTATCCACCCAAGTCGAGACAATCTCCAGAAGACATTCCTACTCTCCCAACTTCCTCAACTTCATCACCACAACCTTCTTCATCAATCACCCCATCTTCCCATATAGCCGTATTCTCCATCTTTCCGTAATACTACCCCTCTCAACGATACTCCCTCTTCCACACGCCCCCGTCCTTCTACCGCCCCCAACTCTACAAATATCTTAAATATTCTATTTAGCCCAGCCAAATGGGACCGATTTTTCGTGATTCCCCTACAGCTCCTTATCAGGCAACACTCTTCTCTTTCAACATTGTCTCCAAGAAGTCCCTTACCCGACCCGATCGTTCCCGTCTCGTTACATTTATATCTGAAACTGAAGCTATAGCATTATCAAGTCTAACTGATCTCTCTGGCAACCCCATTCCTGCAGAACTTCATCCAACTCATAATACTTGTACCGGAACTGTCTCTATCTCCCCAGCAAGCTGACCTATGGATATCGATTGGTCAGATTGTGGAGAAGACTTACTCGGTTGCCTCAAAGACAGTGATGTGATATCAGTACAGTGCTACTCCATTCCCCCTAGAGGTCATCGAAAGAAACCCACCATTATTGCCAAAATTACATATTTCATATCTTCCCTTTGGTGGACAAACCCTCCCTGTTCGACCATACCAACCTCCTCCCCATCAATGTCAAAACTGTTGGCGCTTTGGACATCCTGCCAAACACTACTGTTCAACTATACCCTTCCCCAGATCCTCCACCTCCTGATACCCTTCCTGATACTACACCCCCTTCTCCCCCCACTAATTCCTTATCTCACCCCCTTGCTCCTTCCCCTTCAAATTCCCCAACACGTACTGTATACCTAATCACTCATAAATCATAAGATATAGCTCTCCTACATTGGAATATTCGCGGCTTCCGTTCTCTCAGACCAGACCTTTGTCATATCCTTTCTTTATATAATCCATCCATGATACCACACTTTTGGCTTTGACAACCTGCTTTCCTTCCTCAGACGCATATATATCCTTCACTTGATCTAATCCTCTACCTAAACCCACCATAACAATAATAACCCATTCACACATCAACTCCTCTACCCATCTTTAACCTTTCAATATTACTCTAGATTTTTGACACAGCAACTATCACCCTTCACCACTCTCTAAAGTACCTTCCTATAGTGCTATATGACCTTAGATGTCTAGCACATTTATTTTGCTTTTAACCATTAACTAATACAATGATTTTCGACAGTAATTCTCCTCGCAATTAGTAAATCAAAATAATTCCATAAACTTGATCGTGGCATTTAAAAACATTGTGCGCGTAGCCCAAACACCCGAAATTGGTTTTACTGGAAGTGAAAGTCCTTAGAGTTAATAAACTTACAAGAATGATGAAAAATTCGTTGAATTCTCCCCCCCCCCCACCCAATCCGTTGCCGTTGTAGTCGTGTGTGTGGGGGGGGGCGGGGGGGGGGGCTAGGAGACGGGGACTGAGACCAATGCAGGGATCTCCCCTACCTTGGGTCCTAGACTCAATCAATTTTGCATGGTCTTCTCTCCCCTCTCCCCTCTGCTCTTCCGTGTCCGTCCCTTCTCCAACCCCTTCTACTATCTACTTCCTAAGGTGTAAGAGCAAAGTCAGCCAAAGTCAGCCTTTTCATCCTTTCAGTACGAAAGGATGAAAAGGCTGACTTTGTTCCAGTCCTGAACGGCCTAAGGGAACCAATGGCACCGTATCCCCTATTTTAGTTTACTAGCCTTTACCTTTCAAGGTACTCGTTATCCGTATAGTTGAAAAGCGCAATTGGTAAATCAAAATAATTATATAAACTTGATCGAGACATTTAAAAACATCGTGCGTGTAGCCAAAACACCCGAAATCGGTTTAACTGGAAGGTGAAAGTCCTTAGAGTTAATAAACTTACAATAATGACGAAGAATAAATGTAGAACATTGCGTGTGCGTATGTGCGTGTGCGTGTATATATATATATATATATATATATATATATATATATATATATATATATATATATATATATATATATATATATATTATCATGCATCAAAACACGGCAGCATCTCAAATGAAAAGAACACTATGCCATTTACTCACCAACTTAATATTACGTATTCTTATCAACAGTAACATCTGGAACACATACATAACCTCATGAGATTCTTTAGACAGGTCTTAATAAAAATCCTTAGCATATGTAAAGAAACCATTGCCACATTTCGTTACTAAAGAATATTTAACACATTTAAAGAATAAGTTCCCATAAAAATAAAAAAAATAAATCGTAAATACACCTCAGCCCAACCCAGCCGGCCGAATCCACGACTACTAATCAGGTATGTCAATCATTAGAGATTGGGCACCTCGCCTAATGCATGGGCGTGGACGACAGCTAGATACAGCGGAGGAAGTCAAGAGTTTCCAAGAAAAGGAACAAAGAAGAAAGACAAATAACTCTAATCAAGTCAGTCGAATCTTCGTAACTGCGTCTTGAGACATCTTACACACACACACACGTATATATATGTGTGTTTGTGTACACACACACACACCTATGTATGCATGTATATATTATATATATATATATATATATATATATATATATAATATATATATATATATATATATATATATATATGTATGTATATAACATACGCATGTGTACACACACACACACACACACACACACACACACACACACACACACACCACACACACACACACACACACACACACACACACACACACACACACACACACACACACACACACACACACCATTCATATGTGTGTGTGTCTGTGTGCAAATGTATATGATTATATACATACATACATACATAGACACACACACACAAATATATATGTGTGCATGTGTGTATATATATTTTTTCCAGCATTTCATATACATCTAAAAATTTTTCAATTACAGATTTCAATTATATATTTTTTATCATA